AGTTTAACGATACCCCGTTCTGAGCTTGACAATCCTCACAACGTCAAAAACTTGGAAAATTTATACAGAAAAGTTTAAGATTGTTTGTAATTTTGAATAACATACTAATTAATAAAAATAATTTATTTGTTTGTTCACTAAAAACTTAGTATAATGATGGAATATTTTGTAAATCTTGTCTAAACTGGATAATGACTGAAAAATATATCAATTATATCAAAAAGATAACAGTCAAGTTGACAGTAATTTAGAGAAACTAATCAATTAGTCTGTAGCAGTAAATTAGATTGTAAAAACTAATTCAGTAAGACTTACTTTGTGCATTCATTTCAAAATTTGAATTTCCTATTCTAAACTAAACCAATATGGTCACTCAAATAATCGTGAAATGTAATAAAATACTGACCTTAAAAGTAATGAAAATGATCAAAGGATAACAATTGCTATGCACAAAACATTTATCCGTCTAATCAGCAAATACCGGTCATCCTTTATGTTCAGACTGGGGCGGTAACATATTTCATCATTAGACGGGACTTGAACATGATATTTAGTATTACTAAAACATGGCCAAGTCAATGGAGCCAAAGGTAAGACTCAAAGAAGGAAGAACTAAAACAGAAACACATTTATTCGAGATTCAAATAAAATAGATAATAATTTTTGATAGATGTTTGTTTGATATTTATTTATTTGAAGATAAAATAAAATATTAAAATTTTATTTTGGCTATGCGTTTGTTACTTACTTTAGAGTAATTGAAAGGTTGTCTTTTAACTGCGTTTGAAGTCTTGCTTCCCAATTTTGACTAATTTCACTCTTTTTCGGTTATTTTATCAAGTATGTTGACATAAAATTTTAACTTATTTAACAATAATTCAACGTCTTGTAACGAATTTGTTTGAAAACTTCTGGATATAGAGCTGACAAGATGGTTAATTTTACTTTGCACGTCGGACCGGATCTTTTGTAATCCCTCTATGCTCGATTCTAGAACTGCTTCGTTAATTGATAACATATCTTCGAGGAAATCAGGATCCATAACGGTGTTACCTTCTCCTATTGAAAAAGTATTCGGTTATTAGAAACTATACAGAAATATCATTTGAGAAAAGCTAACTTTCTTCTCGATGTATTCCGTTCAATTTCAGCAGGTATATTCCTCTTTTATACGGATTTTGCAAAACTTTATAGGCTTTGTTGACAAATGTTGAAAGATCCAGAGAAGTGTTTTGGTCTTCCTGAAAAAATAAAAAATAATAAGACCACAGTTTATAGTAATGAGAGTCACATAAATTTACCTGAGAACGGTTGGTATATTTGTCAGGATGAAGGATTTTTTGCAAATTCAGGAATCTCTGCCTTATTTCTGGGACATCTACATCATAGGTTGCTTTTAGGTTAAATATGGTGAAATAATTTAATTCTGGATGATTCAATTGCGGTGCCAGACAATTCGTACAGCTGATGGGTAAGCTTTCCCGAAATTTACTTCCACACTGCCAACTTTAAGAAAAACAACAATAATAAGAAAGATAATGTATCAAGGTTTATCAAATAAATTGTGGCATGTGAAATGTAAATTGTAACAAACCATTGAGTAAGTTTATTGGCACAAAATAGCCTATCTGTTGTATAAATTTGAGGATTAGGCTGCAATAAATGTCGATGGTTTTGATTGATGATTTCTAATGAAGCAAACCATTTTAAGTCACAGTTATTAAAGAGTCGATTTAAACCATCGCAACTGATTGTTCCAGATCTCTTAACCAAATTTAAGATACTCTGGGACTGACTTCGTATCATTTTTATAACCTAAAAGAAGAGCAGAACAAGATGCGTCAATTTTAATAACAAAAATATCGGAATGAAATCATACCTTTTCTTGTTGTAGTCAATCGCAAAGAGTCAATGTATTGCTTCTTGATTAAATCCAGACAAATAATTCCCATTTCAATGCATTTGCTGATTCCTTGACATTTTAATGCCACTTAAATAATAATCATACAACAAAAATGATTAAAAATGTCACCTTCAACAGAAAACCATGAATTCATGAATAAAGAGATTGTAGACTTAAAGGGAGAGAAAAGACAAAATTAATCATCCAGCCCGCCAAAAAAAATTCAAACCCATCTCAGTTGTTACTTTTACTGTGAAATTCAAAAACTAAAGCCATCTGAATTATCGGTGTTATTATTTTATTTATTTTAATTATTTCCTTAATATAATTATATTATTAAAGGTAAGTCATCAGCTAACAATATTTTTAATTAAAACTGTCTTCTACTATGTCTTGGATTGTAAAATGGACCAGGCTGGTTTTTTAACATGTACCATTCTCTACTCATATGTTGAGCTTTCTTAATGCTTTCTCTTCATGACTATTAACTCTTTGATTCTATCGGTTTATCTGCAAGTCATGTTTATTTAATGGTCATCTAATTATTTATGATCTATTTATTTTACAGTCTTATACTTAAAGTTACTTGGATCGGCATAGTTTGGTTCTCTGTTCATCTCCAAAGTTCTGGTCTTGGTGTGCCACTGTGATTATATACACCTTGTTTCCTGCTTATTATTTATCCAATTTTAATTTGTTTTGACTGTTCGTTGCCATTTTGTTAACGGAATCCAATACTGAAATAGAAATGGATCTTAATCAGGTTTGTTTTAATATAATTTCAATTCTTTATTCATCCGACTAATATCTTTCTCCAATGTCAATTTCCTATTACATAGCCAAGCGTTTTCAACCCAAAAATGTTCAATGATGAAAGAGACCAAGTCCTCGGATTGTTCAATAAATTACAAGCGTACTGGGGAACTGGGAAAGCATTTTATATGCAAGGCCAAGCACCTATCGATTTAAATCAACATCAACCCAATCATAGATTTAAAGCCATCGGTTATTCCAAA